ATGCTGTCAGGATTATTTCATGTCTGTGTGGCATCCTGTGAATGTAGAAGTGATGTAGCATCACCAGATTTTTGCTTAATTATTAAAACTATGTTTTCTGTTTAATGTCTCCGAATATATTGCAGTTTTTCTAGCTTTCAAAAGCATCACCGTATTCATTATCTGTGTGCTAAAGAGCAATTCACTTCTCACCTTTCTGTATCACACCTTAGTGAACACTTTTACTGATCATATAAGGTGGAGTGGCTAGAAGAGGAACACTGAAAATAGCATATGTAGTCTTTGCCTGGAACTTGGTGGGCTGGTTTTCCTGCACAGTAGGAAGTAGGAATCTCACCCAATGGTTTTTGCAAAGCCACAGAGCTTCCGCAGCAGCGTTACCAGTGACTAAAGCAGAATGTGCGTGTCATTATATAGTGGCTGTTACTGAGAGGCTGGCAGGTAAGTAGAATCATGCAGAAACAGCTCTGTAACTTTAACAGTAATTCTCCCTGCCATAGGGCAGGCCAGTAGAAATAGGTGTTCATCCTGCCTTCCATTTCTGCATCACAGATCTATGATAGTTGTGGAGGCTTGCATGGGAACATTGCAAATATGTAGCAGAGCTGACTGTGCTAGAGGCTTAGACATAAAGGTGAACATGGGAGTAAACCCATCAGTTGTGATACATCTCACCATGTTTCAGTAACCTAAGGTTAAAGGAGAAAAAGATGTGGAAGACACAAAAGAGGATAGCAGGGAAAAGTGCAGTTGTCCTGACCATCTGAATAAATATTCCTTAATCAGCTAAGTGTATATCAGAGGGAAACTGGTGGTGTCTCAGGAGAATAAAAATACGGTATTTGTACTGAAGTACCTTTTAATGATTTTTATTTTTACATGCAGCATCTCCCTGAGGAGTAAAACAGTAACAAGGTTTCTACTAATGGCACAGATATGGCAAAGAGGGTCACATAAATGCCACACCAGTGACCAGTCTGCCTATGCCACTGTAGAAATCCCATTTAATATTTCTATTAGGTGCACAGTTAAATGCAGTTCAGGACTCTACCAATATTAAGCAATAATTCAGGGCTATGTATTAGGAAAATCAAATGGTTTCTGGGTTTAGCCTAGTTTTTTAAGGCAAAGGTATTTATTTGATCCATCTTGTGTCTTCCTGTATTGTATATATCCTGGCTACTGGCTTTTTAATTTTGTGGTCAGTCAGAGAAAACTCACAGATTGACTAATACTACATCGATCATGTTCTATGAAAATAGGTGGTCAGACAGAGATGAGATCCTAACAGTGTCCCCAATTTGAGTTCACCCTGTAGGAGAGACCAGGGAGTCCATACGAAGGGGTAATTTATGAAAATCCCAATTCTGGGAAAAGATTAAATAGGTGATTGCAGTTTGTTAGATGTCAGGGAAGCCAGTCATAAGACAAAGGAAAGTGGGCTGCCTTAGTTTTGCTAATCACAGAACAATGTGGTTTTTAATTACCAGAGATATCTGCAATGTTAAAATTTGGAATACAGGCAGACACAAGCATTTCTGTAATAATGATGTCACAGTGAAGCAGAGTAAAAGCTGTGTATGCCATTTTTAGTGACTGATTTGCCTTGACAGTAATAACACCATTTAAAGCACTTTATACTTCCAAAACTCATTACCACCACTAATTAACTCCTAGAACACCCCTGAGGGATGCCAACTGGGAGATAAGTTACAGTATTACTATTTTAATGCTGGAAATACTGAGACAGATCACTGAGTGGTGACAGTGCTTGGAATAGAATGCAAGTAAAAACTCAGAATCTAGTGTCAAACTAGGACCTTGCTGAAGATGAAAATTTGCTGATACACTTTAAAGGTATATTTAAAAATAACCAAAGATTTTTACTAATTAAAATACTTTGTATTCATTAAAAAATAGATTAAAGAACCATATTAGTATGGATGTATGAGTATGACATGGCTTATAACAGTTGCCAGGTCTGTACTAGCCATTAAATGTCATCAGAAAGTTTTTTACTACCACAGACTTCTAGAGTCAATGTAAAAATGAAGTCACCAAAAGCCAACCTGACCAGCAGTAAGCAGTCTTCATTGTGGCTTATAGGAATAAACAGCAGCAGAGTTTGTTTTTCATTTCTATGTAAAGATATGCAGGATGGAGCTGGAAGTAAAACATTTTATCTACTGGGAACTCTGCAGATTGCAAGTGAAGCCACCTCACTCTCTCATACATTCAGTAGTTTCTCATATCCACTCAACCAATGAGGGATTAGTAAACCACTTAAATCTTTTTAGCAAGGAATTTTTTAGTATATGGTGGTTTGTTCCTACTCCTCCTCCTTAACAGGGAATGGAAATCTTGGAGAAAAATAGTATATCTTTTTTAAAAAAAAGCAGGTACTTGTTTCTGTAGATTTTCCTGATTGCCTGGCTTGTCTTGCTTGTTTATAGCTCTTGGGGTGGGGGGGTTGTGGTTTGGGTTTTGGTTTGGTTTGGTTTTGGTTTTTGGTTTTGTTTTCCAAACTTCCTGCCACGTACTGGAAATATTATTTAAGATTTTCTCACTTTGTATTGTAACATTCTAGGCTATTACTTTTGTGGCCTACTGCATGCACTACATAGCATTTCTATGTGAAAAAAACTGATCTAACTGTACCTTCCCAAGATATTTCTTAAATAATAGCACCGAGAAGTACACATTGTAAATTAATAATAATTTTAATGAAAAGTTCATTACATTCCAAAATGCAATACATATGCATGTATAATTCAGTCATATAATTTCTCTTATATATATAGTAATCATAGTTTTGTTCCTGGCAATGTGCTGTGGCCTTTCATTCTACTGAATGTTGCAGGTTGTTTGTATTCTGTCACTTTATGCAATTAAGCAAGTGTATAGAAATCGAGGAATTGGCCAGAAGTACAAATGTATGTAGCTTATGTATCATTCACATTTTGTGTTTATTATTTTTACAGCGAATGCCATAACTCTACAGATAGAATAAAAGTGAGAGTGTGGGATGAAGATGATGACATCAAATCTAGAGTAAAACAACATTTCAAAAAGGAATCTGATGACTTCCTTGGGCAAACAATCATTGAAGTAAGAACACTGAGTGGAGAAATGGATGTATGGTATAATTTAGGTATGACTTTTATTGATTTTTTTAATATATCCAGGAAGGGTCAATCCACCATTCTCAGACATAGTTCAGGTTGTGGCTAAAGAAAAATATCAATAATGAAAATAATAATTAGTACATATACTGGCTAGAACATTTAAATAATTCCTATTGAAAAGGGAAAATTGCTAAATAAAGTACTGTGCAGCCTGGTTTTAATTTGGCAGATAAAATAAAATTCTTCAGAGTCTGATATTCCTCTTCATGGCCTGAGCCATGTGTGAAGTAGTAAAAAAATTCTCTTATTCTCAACAGCAGAAATTTCTGACTTTAAAAAACATTCTTATTAAGCTAGAATAATTTATTGAAAACTTTTCACATGACATGTATTCTTGGTAGTTACCAATACATTATTTTTCTGCTCTTCAGAAAAGCGAACAGATAAATCAGCTGTCTCTGGTGCCATTAGACTGAAAATCAATGTTGAAATAAAAGGAGAGGAGAAAGTTGCTCCCTACCATGTGCAGTACACCTGTCTACATGAGGTATGTTGGAGAAGTTAAAGAAAACATACTATACAGAAATTACTGTCCAGTTGTTGCATGGATGAGCAAAAAAGGCTACAGAACACTAGAATGCTGAAACAAATAACTGCTGCTACACCCCAGGACAAGTTTATTTTAGTTTTCCCACTTTTCATTGCTGATGGCATGTCAGGTTGAGAGACAAAGGCAGAACACCAACAGATCATTCCTGCTCCTGCCAGTAGGAGTTAGAAAAAGAGGTGAAGTCAGCTAAGTTCTCCCAGTACCCCATTTTGTTTTAGCATTTTGATTGCTAACATCAAGAAGACATAACCATTCTGTATACTACAGAAATATAGCTATTAATTGTAAAGGATTTATTTTCTGCTACATTAATTCACATTTTGGAAAGAGCGAGAAAAAGCAGAAGCACAATATAAAATACAATTAACATTTTATTCTCCTGTCATCTAGATTGCTTCTGTCAACGTTGGAAAAAAACTCATCACTGATAAACCAGTGTGTCTTGCAAAAGATTTTTCTTTGTATTTGATTCTTCTTCCCTTTAACAGTGACCCACATTGAAGTTCCATTCTAAAAATACAAGTACTTTCTGAAAGCTGATAGATAACACATGGTTGAAAGTTCTGTCACTAGTGTGTATCCACAAAATCCCACTGTTCACCATACGTAAAACTAAGGGCAGAAGGCACATGTGTTCATAGGTTTTGACCTGATATTGCAAATGTTTTGACCTGTGAAGTGGCAAAATTCTGTTGCTTTAAGATAATCCACAAGACAATTATGGGCTATTAGCAAAAAGGAAATTATTTCAAAGTTTGGGCAGGTTTTTTATCACTGAAAATAGGAAATAAAATCTCTTGCTCAGTTTATGGATACATATAGAGCTAGGTAATCTGACATGAACAGCAAATTAAATACTAGCTTTGGTCCTAAGGTTGCTAAACCTAAAGTTTATTGCATGCCTTTAACTACTTGAGAGGCTTCTGCAAGATTTCTGATAGGTTTCCTATAACTTACAGATCTTAAATAATAAATTTGAAATTTATTGGTTGCAGATGCCATTAAAGTTGAAGCACTATTTAGTAAGTATCATAACATCATGATTTCTTTCATTAGCACAGGCATATGATAGAGAAGAGAAAGTTTATGCAGAAGTTTATGTTGCAGTCTCTCTGTGCCAGTTAGTGACATGATCTTATATCAAAGAGATAGATCAATGCTCTGAATCACAAGGCTGCATCACCACAGTTCCATTACAAAAACTGTGCTTAGAATCTTGGGGCTTTTTGTTTACCAAATGATGACTAGTCAGTGCTGCTCTTCAGAAGCAATAAAAAACCCCTCCAAACTAAACCACAAAACCTCCCACAATCTAACAGTCAACATACTGATGACTATTATATAGGGTATACTTTCAGAATGCCACTTAAAAGAGGAAAATTCCTATTTGAAACATTTCTTACATTTAGAATTTATTCCATTACTTGACGGAAGTTAAATCTAATGGTGTTGTAAAAATCCCTGAAGTGAGAGGTGATGAAGCCTGGAAGGTGTACTTTGATGACGCTGCACAAGAAATTGTAGATGAATTTGCAATGCGCTATGGAATTGAATATATTTATCAAGCTATGACGTAAGTATTATCACATCTGGTTTTCTACTCTACTGTCAAGAATGTGTTTGATAGAGGCGATGAGTTCTAAGCCTTCATGCTTTCGTTCTCTGTTCTCTCCTGTCCCTGGTTTAAATTTCTTGTTTTCATTTTTTGTCCATCTGATTTTCATTGAAGTGCTTCTCATTTGCAATGGAATTAAGACATAAGCATTTTATAAACTGTTACTGGTCTTATCACTAATGAACTTCTTAATTCTTCTGATACTGATCTGTGGCAAGGATTAGAAAGACTTTCATTGTTCCAGATGGGATTGGGATAGTAGAACAGGTTTTCACAAAAATCTGTATCCTTTCCAGGAGTACAGAAATCACAGAACACCAGCAGTGACTACAGTAAACCTCCATAGTACGTGTAAATAATTCATGCAAACAATTTTTAATGGTATTAGAACTTGTTGCTATATAGTCCAGACTAAAGCAGCTATATAATCACTATAGAACACAGAACCACTGAGTTTATAGGCCTGGGGGTACAAGAGCTCCATCATGTATTCTTTCTCAGTGAAAAGGACTATATTCTGCTCCTACTGCAGCTGTAGAAAAGCAGATGACTACAAATAAACCCTTGAAATACAGATTATTTTTTTTCCTATAGAAAGATGATATGGAATTTTTATTCAGAACATGTATCCTACTTCCTCTATTTCTTTACAGTACATCCTAAAAAAATCGTAAGTACAAAGGCACATAAATGTGAAGTTTTCTTTTTATTGCAGGATATAATGACAGCATCTACTATTGCAGTGAACATGTCTTTCACTTTACTGAAAGTGAAACTTTATTGCTCAGTGTGAATTATTGTGCTGTACATCTAATAGAAAGGTAGAGGATGCACTTGTAATACATACATTTTTAATATTCTTTCTCCAAGGACCTTATACAACATTGCACAGAATAATTAATTAAGCTTGACAGTTCCTCTGTGGTGTTGTATATCTGTATTACATATGGAGGAACTCATGCACTGAGGTTTATGAATATTTGGGTTTTCATATTTAGTTTCTCTTTAGCCATGTATGACTTTACATCTTGATTAAGTTATGTTGCTTATTAACTAGCATCGTATTATAGTTTTATAACTTGATTTAAATTGGCATGCTATTTTTACCAAAATGTTAATCTCAAAAATGATAAGAGTTGATCCTGCTGTATGTATCACAATGAATTCAAGGCTTTATATGAGACGAATCCTCAAGGGCTGTTAATGCCAAGGGAGGGCTAAGGGAGTGCTGTTATTACTGTTTGCTCAGGACTGATTTAGCGTTTCTTTAGTGATTCTTCTCAGCTGTAGCCCCAGTAGTTGGTTATCTCAATACAACATGGATGTGTTTTGATGAACAACCACGAGTAAAAAACTGGTGGCTTTGTCATCTATGATCCTCTTCGTAAACCCTGAAGTTTCATTTCTTGCTCTCAAGTTAATATTTATTTATATCTATTCCTTTAGAGCACAGAAATAATATTTCAAAAGGATAGCCTTGATTTTCCAAACACACTGAGTATACTCATCAACCACAATTGTGGCAGCTCAGCAAAGATAAACAAGATTTTCAGTTTATTGTTTCAGTGCTTGACTGCTTTGCAGAAATTCAGTCCCAATAGGTGACCAACTAAAACTCCTTTTAAAACAAAATACCTCAAGCTTTTCTCCCCAATCAGCACCAGCAAAGAAATTTTGCATTTTCTGTGATTTAAAACATGTGATGATGTTTGAGTCAGTGTTAGATTCTAGATCAGGAGATTACTTGTGCACTCAGATACTGGTTGGAATGTGGATATCAATACAAAAGATATTGCATGGGTGGTTACTTATCTGCTTTAATTATTGTCTCTAATGACACCTTTTTCATTAAACTTAAAATATTTGATTGCATCTATTGTTGGAGACAGACACATCCAATTTTTTTATGAGGCTAAACATAGGCAGTTCTTCCCTAAAGGATGCTGACTTAGAAAGGGTGTTTTAATCTCAAAACACAGGTTCCAGCTACCCAGTTCCTAAGCAAGAAAATCTGCTTTTAAATTACCAGATGTGGAATTCATGTGAAAAACAAGGATTGACACAAAACACAAGAAGAAGCATGTCTGTGTTGCAGTAACCGCACCATTTCTCAAGGAGTCTGTATCGGGCAAAGAAATGAAAAACAATTGTAGCCATTCTTATATAGGACAGAAGAGGTTTTTTTTTTAGTGATGGATAGATGGATAGCCAAATAGACACTGTTTGCTGCATGAATGATACGGGTGTGCTCCCAGAAGTCAAAGCATGTATGTGTGAGAGAATAGGAGAGAAAATAGGTAAGACAGAAAACAGATTAACAAAATAGGACAGCTCAGTGATCCAGCTGGCCTTTATTTTGACGACTGCAGTGATGGATGGTGATTTATGCTGTAAATTCTTTAAGGAATTGTACTGGAAGTTCATTTACCTACCTCTATTAAGCCACCTCTCCACCACCAAGAAAAAAATCATTTTCTTCCTCTCATCTTTCAAAGTAATTTATTTATTTTTACAAGGCAAAAAGCAAAGCACGTATTGAAGCAGTCTTTGACTAGACACTGAAATTTTACGTAATGTCAGCACCCTGGACTTACTGTGTAATAGAGACAAGTGCAATAAAAGCTCTATTAAGATCTTTGCTTCTACTGGCAAGAATCACCATAGGTAGAATCTAATGTTTCTAAATCAGTGACATAGTTCTTATTCCAGCAAGTTAATGGGCATTAACTGTGCCATGTTGTTCCCCTCCTATTCTTCAATTAATGTGGCTGCATTGCAAAAAGCACATAAATCACCCATTAAAGTAATTTTTATTGATAGTGTATGCTTACTGAGCGCAGCACATTATTTAGCCATCTTTCTTTGCTGATTCATGCTAGGAGAAAGATTAGAAGAATCACAGGCACTGCATGTTGGTCAGGACATTGCACAGTAAGAAAGTTGAAACAAGCAGACCTGGTTTTAGGCATGTAACTCTAGCTTAAACAATGTATTACTGTAAAATGTGTGAGACAGCAACGGTTGCTGTAACATCATGTGCCCATTATAAACTGTTCATAATTCATGCTATTCGCTGCTGTTTTCAGAGACCCACAAAAACAGTGGGCAATGACAGCAGCTAAGGGTATTTGGCTTAAGTTCAAAGGAGTGAGTTCAGTTGTAACTTGGGTTAATTTTTGTCTTGAAAGGGCATTAGGGCCCAGGTGGTTCAGGCCCAGCACACTGCTCTGCCTTATGCTCCTATGGTGAAACAGTAGAGTGGAGCCAGAGACTCCAGATAAGAGGAGCATGCTGCCAAATCAGGACCTTCAGACATGCAGAGAGCTCCAGAGCAATGGGAGTTTCTTCATCCTTTTCTGTTTTACTGCATACTCATTTTACTGCCATCTCCTCTGCCTAATCCCATTCACTCTTTAAAAAATGTCTCTATACATTTACCCTTTATCCCTTTATTTTCCTCCCAATCCTACCTTAACTATAGATCTTGAAACTAAGATTTTATGGTTTGCAATGATGTTTACTCATCTTCCATCCATACTGTATCTTATGTTTTCTTATGTTGTAAGATCTTTGTACATAATAAGCAGGCATCTCCTGCTGCTACATTGCAACTCTGGTTTTGGCTGGTTCAGTTTTAACAGACTGATTACCTAAACTTTACTCTCCTGAATCAAAGTGGAACATTTTCAATTATGGCCTAAATCAAATCAAGGTGAACCTAGAAGTTGCTTGCTGCCTCACCTTTCATTAACAACATAGCCTAAAAAGCCACACTAAAATGCTGGTTTGAGTTTTTGTAGCAGTCGATTAAATCCTTCCTCATTACAGTTTAGATAGACTTCATGTGGCCTTTTATGGTAAATTTGTGTTTGATTTTAAGTTAGTATTTAATAAGGAATATCTCGCTTAATAGCAGTTAAGATAGTTAAATCATGGTTTTGTGTTTAGAGTAAGAAGCAAATGTGAATCTGTGTTCAGTTTGAAAATATCAGTGTGCAACAAGTGTCAGCTATATCAAACATGTCTCAATTTTCTCCATATGTATCTGCTCAATTGTCCATGTGGTAGCTTGAAAGTTATATCATTGGAGCTGAAAAGAAATTGTGGTGAGAGAAAGAACAGAATCTTTGCCATTTAAGATAACTGTCAGTTTGTTTGAATTGTAGGCACTTTTCCTGTCTGTCTTCTAAATATATGTGCCCTGGTGTTCCAGCAGTTATGAGTACACTGCTGGCCAATATAAATGCATTCTATGCTCATACTACAGCAGCAACTAATGTATCTGCTTCAGATCGGTTTGCTGCTACTAACTTTGGGGTAAGTAGACTTTCTTTTTTAATAGAATACTAGTCCTCATCCTTTTTTTCTTTTTTTTTTTCCCCCTATTTCTGATACATGATACTGTAATAACTTCTAAATTAAATATTTTTGTAAAAGTTGGTCATTAAAAACGGTGAGTGGCTGTTAGCTTTTAAAAATTTTTGCCCTGAGTCTTTGCAATCAGTCATTATAAAAGGTAGAGCGAATGCTATTCAGTTCTTTATTCGTGATGTATATACGATAGAAAGTGTGGGCACACGTGCATAGTACTAAAATCTTCAACAAACAGGTTTTGTTTTTGTTGCAGTGGGGCTTGCAAAAACCTAACTGCACTAGACTAAGGATTGGTTGCAATTGCTTTCTTGGGGTGTGCATCAGTGAACACTTAGTAACCTAATGGATCTAGCCATAAATACTGTTCTTCTTACAACAGCACTTATTTTTGCTGAAATAATGGTGCAGTGGCCAAGTCCTGGATTTAGGTATGAGAAATTTAAGGAGGAATATGAGCATCTCAGGTTGTGGTAGTGCTTTTTTTGTTGTTGCTAACTTTCCTTCTGTGGCTAAGTATCTCACAGTGCAGACTTCTTGAACATGCTAAAATGTAAAGGTGCGTTTACTCCGCATTCTGATTTGTTCATCTATCCACCTGGGGAGATGAGAGCAGGAAGGGTGAACAGTAATTCAGGAGTGGCTTTCATCTGTCTAATATTACACGTGATATAGTCAGAATATAAACACAATTTGATGTTGAAAAATGCATTCATTCCTTCCACTTTTTTTTTGTATAGCTGATATCAAAGTTAATTTTCATTTAACGGTAGCTATGAAAGCATGATGATGTTTTCTAAAATACCATTTACTGACATGAAATAAAGTATTAAACATAATTAAAATGTATTCAATATAAATTATAGTTTGAAGTAGTGATAGAGGTTCTAATGCTCTTCTCCAGTATTAAGAGTAACAGAAACAGTATGATTTTTGGGATTTTCAAGACAACACTGTGAAATGATACATTAGGACTAGTAAACCAAGAAAGACTTAATTCTGGTTTTGCTTTTGTTTTCCCATCAGAAGTCAGAAACACAATTATCTGAATATTCTCAGTAATTTAATCCATGCCTGGGAAATGGTGTAAATGTTTAGTTTTGTAAGAAAAATTTGCTCCAGATGATAAAACAGATTTTGATTTGTAGCAAACAGCATATAGCATTCCTGCATAATGTTTTCATACAGGGCATCAAATAGTTGAAACTAAATATTAGTTTGCATTTCATTTTTGAGATAGAACTTATCTCTACAAAACTCACTTTGTGTAGTAATAATACCAAAGATTGATTTTTTTTATTATTGCTGAATCTGAATGTTCTTAGGATCTGAAGGTACTGCTTGCAGCTGTAAATTAGTTCTCAGTACACCCAAAGTAGTACTAATAGAAATATGTTTTCAAATTTAAGGGATAAATCTGTTGGGGGAAAAAAAAAAAAAAAAATCATTGTCATTATTTTCAGGTCCATTCAGTAATAGAGAAATAGTTACTATAATAACAGTTTATTTTTCTTTTAAATGTTACATCTGGTGGAAGTACTCACATGAAAATGAACCCAGAGCTGGGTCTTTAGCTTGGAGACAGCATGTTCTTGAACTGGAACTTTTATCTCCTAATGCGAAAGGTTTGCTTTGAAAGAAGAATATTAACATTGTTCCAATACTATAAAGTAAAATAAGTTTATATACAAAAAGCACTGTCTGAATATTTATGATCTAGTGATTTTACTACCATGACAGTAGAATATTACTCTGTTCTTATTCAAGTTTTCTTTTATAAACCAATCGATGGTTTATTATGGAATGAGCCTGTATCTTTATTGAAGGAAGAGTACTCTTTCAATGTTCAAGTTCTATTAGACTTTTGAATTTCATCCAGATTTTTAAATTTAGAATGGTTTTAGTGGATTTTTTTTTTCCTTTTTTCTAACAATCAGAACTATTTTTATCCTCAGATTGGATGGAGATTTAGTACTCTCCCTGATGTTAATGCCAGTTTACCTTTGACATAAATTCCAATCCAATTTTTAGTTCAACAGATGGATGGAAAGACAATAGTAAGCATTACTAATAGAGATTTGGAGCTCTTTTTTTCAAAACAATTGACTTATAGGCAAAATATTAGATTATTTTTCTCTTGGGTCAAAAGGCATTTGTTAGTGGATAGCTGCATATCATTCATCAAAAAGAACATCTCAAATTCAAGTCCTCAAGCTACAGCTGGGAAGGATTTGGCTGACTGAATATTTCAGTAAAGATTTATAACATGATAAAAAAGTTCCTTTTTGATCCCTTGAGAACTGTGCCAGATTAGTGGCTTTTGGTGTAGATTAGTGCTCCACTGATGAGAGTGAACAAAGAACCCTACTTCATATTAGTACCAATCATATCTCAGGAATGGTTCAGATACAGTTATGCATTCTGAGAGCTACCAGATCTTGATACTTCTACAAGTCTCTGTTTTCACATAGGCTGGCAAGGATTTCTGCACAGTTTTGTGCAGTGGGCTATGGAAAATGTTCTAACATGAAGATTGCTAATTAGAAACTCATAAGTATTATTTGAGAATAGCACAACTCAGCTGGGTATTTCACAGCAAAATACTTTCACTTCACTTTCATTTATCAAGTTAGCATGTTAATCTCCACATATGAAAGGGAAAACTGTAACTGCATAGTATTGCTTAGCTTATTCCCACAAAAGCCACTGTTTCTGAAATATAATTTTCAATCATACTTTTACACTAAATTCTGCTGTAAATAATTATTTCTTATTATACATTAAAGGGAGGGGGAAGTGCTTTCTTCTAGAGGTAAGCAATTACAAGGCAAATAGAAAGATTTTACAAGCTTATCTGTTTAATGAGCATTGCTAACATAACTTAAAACTTTGAACTTTATACTGAATTGATGCTGTTATTTTGGTTTTGGTCAGAGACATCAGGCAATGTGTTTCAATTTTAGATATTTTGAGTTATTTAACAATATACAGGTCATTTTAAAAGGAAAAATCAGCATGGGAAAGTCTCTGTCACCTCACTAATATATTGCACAGCTGCACAGTGCTGAATGCAAACCAGGTAGATCACAATATAGGATAGAAAGAGAAAATAGAGTGGTAAAAGATAAATTATCTGGCCTTTAAACACAGTTATTTCAGACCAGCACTTGTATAGGAAACAGCGGAAAACAATCTATTTTTCAAACAGGTTAAGAATGGAAGGCAGCTTTCTAAAACCTCACCAATAACAGGAACCTGCAAATTCTTATGCAACATATTCTTGTTTTCTTTTTACAGAGGGAAAAGTTCATAAAACTGCTGGATCAATTGCACAATTCTCTGAGGATTGATTTATCTAAATACAGGGTATGTGCAATGTTGGGGTTTTTTTCATGTGTGTGTTAAATACCCCATGTGGGCTTTAACTGCTTAAAGAAGTTTCAGAGACTAATATCTTCTGTGGCACAGAAGCTTCAAATACTGGGTGCTGACATGAGATCCAGAATTCAAGCAGTTTAACAACAGTAGTTTTCCAATTTGAATAAAAGTTATTCTTTTATTTTCAAAAGCTAAGAATGAGTTACGGGATGAGCAGGCATACAAGAAAGAGTAGGATTCAACAGTTTCAGTTGAATTAATCCATAACTTTATTAAGCTAGTTCTTCTGGAAACTACCTCCAATGTCTCATGTAGTGCAAATTGCTGTTACTAGTGTATTTATTCTGAGAGATTGATAGCTTTGCTGCAACGTCCATGCTAAGATCCCAGGAATGTTGAAAGAGACTTGACTCTTCATTTTCCTACATGATAGGAGGTGCAGTTTCACTTCTGCCTCATGGAAGTTCTTTCCACTAAGGTATGCTCCAGACCCAGCCTCTCAGGAAAGAGGCATGCACTGAATACCTGCCAGTTACTGTACCATTCTGAACTCCCTCCCTTTTCCATTCCACTGTATCCTGAATTTCTGGATGATACATACACGATTAGGGGTCCATCAGTTATGGCTCTCCTTTCAGCATCTAGGAATGGCAGCCTCCAAACCAAGGATTTCTCTGTTCTTCATCTCGTCTGCTTTCTAAAGCTGAAGGAGAAAGGGAATATTTAAAAGAAGCCAAGCCATTAGAGGTAGTAGAAGTTACACATACTCAGTTTTTAAAACTGTATCTTCCATGCAGCAGATATGTTCTTCCTAGAAGCTTTTAATTTTGCAGAATGTTATCCAAAAAATATTGGAGCATGAGGATATCTGATGTTTCATCAGTATGAAGCCATTTAAATAATACTACTTCCCATCAATCTTCTTGTTAGCCTAGATATCATAGCAAAAATTCCATATACAATTTCTTCATTAAGCTTACTATTGCATTTATGCCTACAACTGATTTCTGTACCATGGAGAACCCATAAATTATTTCCATTAGCAACATTTTCCAGTCTTTTTGTAGTATTTTTTATTCTATTAGTATTTTGGAAATATCACACTATTTTAAATCACTCACATTACAAACAGAGGAGAATTATCAGAAGTGTTCCTATTCATGTCAAAGGGATACTCATTACTAACTTTCTCACAGGCAGAATTCAGTTAACACATGAACATTTCTAATCCTTCCAAACAGCGTCTTTGGTTTTTTAGAGGGGTTTTTTTGGGTTTTTTTTTTTTTTTCAAAGTTTGTTCAAGGATCTTACCTGTAACTCCAGTTTGGTTTTTTTTTTTTCCTTCTCTTCCTGATTCACCAGGATAATTTTCCTGCCAGCAATTCTGAAAGACTCCAAGATCTGAAATCAACTGTGGACCTGCTTACAAGCATTACTTTTTTTCGAATGAAGGTATGGTCCTTTTATTTTCCAGGAAAACCGTAATCTCTTTAAGTTTTAAATTAGATCTCTCAACTTACTGAAAATCACTGAAGCCATCTTGTTCAGACTTCATATGTAACAATGAGGTAAAAGCCACTGTCTGAAAAATTAACAATTGTCTTTTCCTTTTTCAGCAATTACTTTTACATCTCCTGAAGGAAACCAAAAATTTACCTATTTAATTAGTTTAAAGTCAAATCACATCATGCAAACTCAGTTGAACTCCTTAAGAACATGTATCATATAAAATGTTTTCCTAGTAGTATGATAATATCACATGTCAAACAGTAAAACAGGTTTAATATATCTACTCAGCTACTCATTTCAGATGTCGATATCTAGGTGGTTAAGTTCTGAAATGGTTTTTGAATGGAATGGTACACATTAATATTACTGGATGAAAACACAGAAACACAAAGCAGCATTTGTTGCAATAGCATCTGATTTCACTGGTATCTGTAGAATTAAAATAATGCATTTAGTTGAAGCTCAAATTAATGTATCCTAAAGTGGAGTAAAAAGCTTGAACCCTTTGCTTTAAAAATTAAGAGCTAAATGACTGATATTCACAGAAAAGCACATAATTATATGGTTTATTTTTTTCCTAAATAATGAAAAAATCTTTTACATATAAAGATGTAAACCCTTGGGCACTTATGCTTCTGTCATTCTATGAACCATTTCATTCAAATAGAATGTAACGATACAATCTACTTGCTTAATAAGTGTTTTAAAACATCTTTAAACTTAGGTCTCCTTAAGTCAAAGTAATTTTAAATATTTTTATCATTATATTTCCACACTTTTCATTCCTGCATTACAGAACTACATTCATTGCAACACTTGGATTTTTTGTGTTCAATCTAATTCTGACATTCTATCATTTCTGAAATATTTTATTAGGTACTTGAATTGCAGAGTCCACCTCGAGCCAGTACTGTAGTGAAGGACTGTGTAAGAGCCTGCCTGGACTCAACTTATAAATACATTTTTGATAATTGCTATGATCTCTACACCCAGTTAGTGGATCAGGTAAGGCATATATTAACTTGCTTCATGCTATTGTTTGTTTGTTATTGTTAATTTACCATAAGTAAATACAAAGCATTTCAGTGTCCTTCATATCAAAGCACTCAGGTTATTTTCATTTTATTTGTGTGAGAAGGGTCAATGTTTCACAAGTAAACCCAGAGATGGCTAGGAACTCTAGTGTTTAGCGAAATGACTTTCAAAACAAACATGTTAACTCATAACTTACTCGTCACATTGGACATGACTATAAAATTGTCCAGTGGCTTTAGAGAAGGTAATATTAGGTTGATTACTGTTCATTTAGGATCCATAATTGGAAAATGTATTTTTTTTTAAATCTAATATTTCTTTTCAGTAGCTTTAGAAAAAAAGAATTATAATTTGCTAAAAATGATACAGTGTTTTTCCAGCCTTATATTTTAACACCTATGATGTATACTTGGATCCAAGCAAATAACTGCTTCAAGAAAGCAGAGGATAATTCTGTAACTTTTCTTAATATTAGTCCATCAGGCCAAATTGTCGGTGCAAAATAATTACAGCATCTGTTATATTCCAAATGCCATGCAAAAGCCTTGACAATTGTTAGAATCATAGAATGAGAGAATGGAGGGGGGGGTTAATTTATTTATTTTTCTACAATACAGCCAGAGTTTATTCTATAAGTAATGTTAATTTTAAGAATTTTATCTGCAAAATTATACAACTGTTGAAAACGAGCATCACTGCTTTCTCACATTACCTCTTGTTCTTTACTTTTGCCTTCTGGCTGGTACACTGGAAAAGTGATATTTCAATGACTATTCCAGCCTTGAAAAGCATTTGCAAATCTGCTGTGTAGTAGCTAATAGATAAGAACAGTCATACTACATGATATACAAGACATTAAATTTTATCTGAAAGCACGTTTCACTTGAATCCAAAATATAAATTCCTGTATTTCAGGAGAGGCAGTACATTCTATATAGTCAACATTGCTGAAATGAGAATTTATTTTCTAATGTTGGATTCCGGTTAAATGAAAAAACTTATCTCTCTGTCCTGGGTCCCAAGCTTTGAACATAAGCACTTCTCACCAACACTCACGGACACTCCACACTCGTGAGTGCTTATATAAGTATTTATTCTTCAACAAATTATATTGTAACCTGAGTAGCAGTATAACAATAAGGAAAAAAGAGCAGCTCCAGACATCACATCTGTTTGTCTCACAAGCTGTTCTGTTTTCTTGCTAACATTCACCATTTACTCTGCAGTAATTTGATCTTGTCTGATAAATATAATATGAGCTGTTGCTAGGCTGGGTGTTGCATAAGTCTGCAGAGTTTCTCAGCAGATGATAGCCATTTTAGTAAACAGTTAAAAGAGAAGTAATCTTACTTCTGCACAGCATTGTGATATCTGCAAAAGCTTATCTGTATATAAAATTTACTCTACTTTTTTCTTTGAATTCATTAAGTATTTTTTAGTCTGTTTTAGAAGACAGTTTAAAATTTCTGGGATGTTACAGCCTTTCTGTTTGGTAGAGAATGTGAAACAAGTTTAAAGTGATGCGTCTCCGATTTTTTTGTTTGGTTTGGTTTTGAACAGGGTGGGTAATGTCATTGGGTTGTTTTTTTTTCTCTTATACAACTCAATGATAGATCAATATGTCCTGAAATAAAAAAATAATTTAAAAAATCCACAAATATTCACTCCATTGGAAAACTGAATTAACTGCATTTCACTGTATTTATATGCTGCTTCTGTTCTCTTCCAGCAAGATTTCCATCCGGTGAGTTTGTATGTAGAAGCTGTAAGCAGACAAGTGTCTATAGTTACAATCACTAGCAAGTACAAGAAATTTTAGTGAAAATATACAAAAAGCTACTTTTAAAATTAAGATAAATAGACCACACTCTAAATAACTCATCACTAACAGTAATCAAACAACAATCACATATGAACTTAATAACAGATAGTAAAACTTTCTGTTTCACAGCAGCTGGGAGGCAGTTCTGAGAAACAATCTAATCTCCCTTTAATAGAGACATGAGTAAAATATTGCTACTTAAATTTTGCATTAACTCTAAATTTGTACAAGTAAACTGCCTTTTGCATTATCCTGATACAGTTTGCTAGCAATATATCTGCATGTACAATTAATTTTAGGAACAGCTGAGTATACAGCTATTGGTACCTATGGCTCCTGGAGGTTTCTAGTGAATCCAGGGGAACTGCACACTGGCTTGGGGTAACACTGTTATAATAATGAAGCAGTAACCAATATTGTAATTAACATTTCATTAACTTTCTACCCAAACTCCGTAGTCAGATTATACCAGATTCTACCCTTAAGCCTTCTTCATTAACTATTCTCTTATCTCTGCTTACCTCCCCATCAGATGAGGCCTCCTCCTCTCAGAGGGAGGAAAGGAGTTCATCCTAGCATGGTGGTGCAGCACAGGAGGTTCATGTTTTAGCTGCACAGCTGTCATTTGAGCTGTGAGTAGTGAGAACTGAAATCGATGAACCCCAAAGCAACAAGAAGTGGTTCATATGTAGGTCACCACCTGCTCTCACTCAGGGGAAAGACTGGCAGCTGTTGTCCTGCCGAGCCCCCCTGAAGGCTCAGGGTTTTACCATGGCTCATTTTTCCTGAATCATATTGTGGATGATGTTATGAAAATGTGAAATCTGGACAGTCTACTTAAAGAGTAGTATTTGCATGTGGCCCATAGTGGTAGTTCCTTCATGTTATATATGCTATCTTTGTGTGTAACTCATGTTAACCACCTTCTGCAACCAAAATTCTCAGAGATGCCTGCCACAATATTTCTAGAAAATGTATTTAATGTCTAAATGTGTGTAATTGTCTGATTTTGGGGCGAAAATAGAACAATGCATGATGAAATTGAGGGTGCTCAAGCTGGCATTTGGGGAAATTTATCACTGTAAGAAAAGTGACAAGTAAAACACAAAATATGCTCAGCAATCCCTACTTCCTCGTTTTATTACTCTCTATCTTTGTATCAGAGAGACAACCACTGTTATAAAGCAAATGTCTTTCAACAAAATATCACCCCTGGGGAACAGCTCTATTTCCTGGAGTGAAGCATGGTAAATGCTAACAGTATGCAAACGTGTCGTACTAGTTTCACACCAGAGTGCAAAGAACAGCTAGCGTCAAAAAACAAATGAGCACTACAGATAGTCAAACATGACATTTTGACAGTCTTACTGACTCGTATATTACTGTCCTCATTATTTGAGACAAAGCGCTCTCATGGGGAACTACCTAATTCCTTCTACAGCAGATGTAGTATTTTCTCTTTTTAATTATCACTGATCTGAGTGAAGAGCTTAGCTGCCTTGTGTTTTAAAAAAGAATGCCTTGAAAAAGTAGTTTAGGAAGCAGTTTGGAAGCTTTCTGACTCAGTTTACAAATACGTCACTGTTTCTGTTTTCTTAAGAAAACAAAAAAACTCTGAAATCTTGGCTGATGCCCATAGCGACTGAAGTCCCCTCAGCAATTCTTTTTGCAGTCTTCTCCACTGAGTGAAACCAATAAAATGCAAATCAAACTCTTTCTGTTCTCTGAAGAGCTCTTGATCAGTACAAATCATTTCATGACTGCTAGAACCACTGGGATGCACTCTGTTTGACACCTGCTCAGCAGAATAGCATTGAAATTCTACCTTATTTTGGAGACCTTTCCTTTTGTCAGTTCTGTATGTTGTCACAGAAGACCTGGTGCTAGTAACTAATTAAGTAGTTCTGGAGCCAGGTGTTACACAGCTGTAGCAGCACAGTGCTCTTGCCTTGTAATTTATCCCTGTTTAAAGCTATAGAGCATTAGGTGAGGTCAATAACATACTAATAACAGCCTAGCTTTTGGGAATCAGAGTTTCTGTGTTAAAAAGATGTAGACTAGCATGTGGATGAACCTATGCTATAAGAGCTTAGTTTTGCTGTACTTACCTGTAAGAACCTGGTCAATATTCCATTTGGGATTTGGGAACCCAAGCCACTTAGTTGCTTTTGAAGGTGTACCTCTTTTTCATTAGTAGAAATGTAAAAAATTTGGTAGATTATTAATTTCTTATAGAAATATTATAAGAATTGAATCATGAAGTGTGTGATCTGTGATCCCCAAACACATTCAAAAGTATGAAGTGGTAAATTAAGTTGTGCAGTAGTGAAAGCTGTTTAGCCCAGGAGTCCTATTTTTCAGCAAAAGAGCAAAGAAATTAAACATTTGTGCCTCTAAAATTGTGCTTCTTTCCATTCAGGAAATGTTAAATAATAATTGTATGATGCTGTTCTCCCACTCACTTTTTCTACACTGTTACACGGTTTACTGTGCCTCTCACTTCTGCTAATAGAAACATTTTCAAGTCAAACAAAATGTATCACGCAAATGTTTTTGATATGAAAATAACTCTGTTTCAAGGTAATTTTTATTCCAAGATGGAACTTTCTTCTGTTGGTTTTGCAAGTTTGCAACTAATCAATGTAATTAAACTTCCAATGTTGTTTTACCTCATAATGCTCCTACGAAGGTGTCTGTTGCCAGAAATCATATAAAACAGATAGCAATGCCAGCAATTATAACAATTAACAAAAAACAACTTGGATGATCCCAAGCGTTTCTAACATGTTCATTAGATGTGAGAATGTGAGACTGCTTTAAAAACACCTTCTGGTTTTTGTTTTGGTTTGTTTTTTACATTTTATGTTGGGTTTTTTTGGTTTGTTTTTGGTTGGTTTGGGTTTGTTTTTTTTCTTATGTTTCCTTTCTTTTTTTTTTGTGGTTTTTTTTGTTGTTTTGGTTTTAGTTTCTTCCAAAAAGATCATCTTGATTTCTAAAAGATTTCTGTGCCAGAGGATTTTTGTAGAAAGCACCTCCTTGTGCAGCTATTACTTTGTACATTAATTACTTTTTGCTGTCTATATTAAGGAACAGAATTTCACATTCTGTGATTCACATTCACAGTTGTGAAAAGCAGTCTCAGCTACATGCCATTGCAGGTTTTTTCTGTGAAACATGGTTCTTGGATAAGACGTTGAACTAAATGTGAACTGGCTTTGTCTTCTACTGCCATTCAGTTGGTATGGTTTTATTCACTAGCTTCTGAGAGAAATAGTTTATTAGAAATAAATCTTTCTTATAGAAAAGTTTTTTTTAATAAAAGTATAATATACACCAGGGTGACATTAATGCTCCAATATTAATTTCTGGTTTGAAAAACACTTTTATTTGCATTTGTGGTTGTTAATTGCTGGTGATACTAGTCACACCATCCATTATAACTGCTTCTGAGCCTCGCATTTATTTAAGTTCCTTTAGACACCGAAGCTGTAGCATCTGTAGATCAGCTCAATATGTAGCAGTGTGATTAATGATACTTTTCTAAAATGATTCCACAGTGACCACAAAAGCAGTTTCAGTTAAGTGCAGTTGAAATTCCCTTTCTGCCATTCTAAATGCTTTTAATAAATAAAAGTTAATTGAGGTTAAGATAACATTTAATTAAATCACTATGACACTGTCTAGTGTCATCTATTCCAAGAGATATGGGGTTCATTGAAGTGGTCATATTTGGACTACAAATGTATGTTTGTACCTGCAGGTGATATATATTTAAACTTGCAGCATAATAGGCATTTTTATTTTCTGACTTGCTAGCTGGGTGACCCATTTCTATCTGACAACTGTGCTGAAGAGCATGTGCAGACAGACATACCTCTGCTTGGCAGAAATGATGTGTGTATCGAAGTGTTCATACAGAGATAAAAACAGTTCATTTCATACTTGGTTCTGCAATTAAGTTATTTATTGGACATTGATGAGGATCTTCTGCCAAGAGAAGAACTGAAAAATACTACAAATTCATAAATCAAAACTGTGGAGACAAAGTATATCTATAAATACATATTTTAGTGAGATTAAAAAGTATAAAATTCTCAATAGAAGTTGGTAAATGTTGAATGTTAATACATATTTATAACTGTTAAAAAGTTCAAAAAGCAGACTTCTAGTCGATGGATATAAAAAGCACTGCTATACTTACCAATAATTTATGATTGGAGAATCATGTTGATAAGCCTTGTCCTTCCTTGTGATTATTACAAAACTGTAATGGGGCATCTCAGGTTCTCTGATGTGGATGTGAAACTGGTTGCAGTCCTCTTAATGTACAAGAAGTATACAAGCATCCCGTTTCCCTGGATAAAAAAGGAATCAAATAACAGATTGGTTTTGCTGAGAGGTTTAAAATCCTTGGCAAAGCAATACCTTCACGAGCCTCTCCTTTGGACATTCCCATGTACCTTTTCCTAGTAGTTTTATGTGTCCAGGCACTTCATATTTACCCACTCCTTCTCTGTGGTGTTTTCCTCTGCCTCTCTTAAATGTACAGTTTGTGGTTCTGCCAGTAAATCTGTGAGTCCTGGAAAATCTCTGTGCAGAATAATTTGGGCAATAGCCTTTGTCATTTTGGCTGTTAAAAAATAAACGGAAATTCAACTGCTTCTTCATTTAAAGCAAACAGCACAGCAGCTGTTAGGCCAAGTAACTTTAGCATATAAGCCAAGAGAAAACAAGAAATGTTCCTTATCATTGATTTGTTCAGTATTTATTGTGTAGGTTATAGAAGTTTGGCCTCAGAAGACCATTTTACCTGCACTCAGTATCAGCACTCAAATTTAAGAATATATTTAATCAAAGAGTAGAAATGCACTAAAAATCAAGATTCTATTCATCTTCATTGCTGATGTCGCTGTCTGTGCACTGTGTATGTTTTTTGATATATATCCACAGCCTGACATAGTATGTCACACAGTCTACTTTAAATTGGATAGTCAGTCTTTGTGCAAAATTTCTCAAGATTCTTAACATGCCACTTTTTCCAACCAAGTAATAATCTGTAGGTGGAAATTCTGTAATATTGTCTCTAATTTCACTAGTATAAAATGTATTTAATCTTGTTTTAACAGGGTAAGAAACAAGAAGTTCCTAAAGAGGAACAGGGACCAACAACAAAGAATTTGGATTTCTGGGCACAGCTTATTACTCTGATGGTCACCATCATAGATGAAGATAAAACAGCATATACACCTGTCCTGAACCAGTAAGTAATTACTTTCCTCGTAAAAATTAAGAATAATGGGTTTATTAAAATAAGGACAAGAAAAGTTGTATTTTAAATATAATCTAGCTAGAGATTCTTAAAAATACAGAATGTAACACTGACATTATTTCATAAAGATGTAGCACTCTGTTCATGGAAAGAAAACCTTTTATTTTAGGAACACTAAAGACGTAGTATATAAACCATCCCAAAAAGCTAAGCAGTGAAATATTATGCAAGAGAACTAAATGGGTAGACAGAAGAGCAAGTTCAGTGAAATGGTGTGATGGTATTAATGTTATGATATTATCTTTCCACACGAGATGTTAAAATTATGCTGAGACTTACTTAGGTATTATTACGGAGTTTTAGGGGTTAGTATTTGTAAAAGAATAATAAACTTCACAAAAGACCCTCTCCACATTTTTGACTGCCTCAAGAGAGAGCCTAGTCATATTAATTTGAAAATTTATAAAGTGGAGATCCATATCCTGAATTTAGGTGGAAGTTGACTTCTCAGAATTGAAGATGTAACAGATAAGGGAAGTACAATCAATAACCAAGACAAATAGAGTAACTTACCATTGATATACTAGCAGAGAAGAGAAAGACAATCAATAAACACAGAAAGAGGAGATAGAGTGCTGGGTTTTGAAAATGAAATATACAGGAGTAGTGCAAAGGAATATATTTCACATATTAAGGCTGAATAAACGGGTGTCGCATTAATTGAAATATGACATGAGGGCCTAGGGAAAATTTTTAGCTCCTTTGGCTCTTCGGAGCTGTTTTACAGAGAGATTCTAGAAAATCTGGGCATAGTCTACCTCTGATGACTTATGGAAAAGTTAAAATTGAAACTTACTTCTGTATTATGGCTAAACAATTAATAGAGGTGTCTGCAATGACATTTAATTGAATGGTCTGAAGGAGAGCAAGATCAGGTTTCTTCTTTCAGCCAAAATATTGTAGATACTGAAAGACACTCTACACATGAAGATGTGCTTGTCTGTTGATAAAATGTACTGTACTTTTTATGGACCCAAAGTATAATTATCAAAGAATCTTATTGGTGATAACCAGAATTTGGAAGAGATTTTATTGTCTTCTGATTCCTTCAATTCCTTTGAATTAGTGAAGGATTGTTTCAGTCCTGGATAATAAGCATTTCTTTGTTCAGTAATTTTCTGCACTAACCTTATTAAGGAACAAATTCTTACCCTACAGAGGAAAGAACGTTTTTCCTGTTTACTCTGTTTATACTGCTTACTGTGAAGTTCCTCTATTAGTGAAAGCTCAATTTTCTGTATAACAAATAGATTTTTTACAAACTATCAGTTTCTTCACTGAAATGAAAAAAGAGTATTGGGGTTAATTACCCTAAAAATTGTTCTAGCTATGTAGTTATGCAAATGTGAGGGAGAAAGGAAAGGGATCAAGAACAGAGTTCCTCTTGAGGGGATTAGGAGTTCCCCTGAAGTACAGCTGAGTCATTGTGTAAGGTGTGAAAAGAGGAGCAGGAGCGGATGGAGCTGGCACAGATTAAGGGAGAGGTTCATGTGTGTGATTTCTTTCCCATTTTGACTGTCATTTTTTAAGGCTGAACACAAAGTGTCTTTGAGAAATAGGAAGCTCAGGAGCAAGAGATGAAGAGGCTGTGGGTGGAAAAACTTGAAAAACTGTTCAGAGTTGCTTTGGGTAGCTCTTTTTAAAAGAAATGCTTCTCCTAACACAGAAGAAGCATCTAAAAACTGTTAAGAAAAATGACAGACAGCCTCTTGCCCCTTGCTTACCCCAGAAAAGAAAATGGATGGAAGGAAAATGTAAGTTGAATGCACAAAAATATTGCAAGACTCTGACTCCTTATTAGAATTACATGGCTATGCACTGTCTCAGTGGAACATTCAGACCTACATCCATTTGAATCCTGTTGTAGAAATGAGGTTACTGTAGATCCCCAGGAGAGCTCCAAGCATTCTGATAGGATTTTTCACAATGGTATAATATTACTCAGGATTTTTTTTCTTAACCAGTTTTGGAAACCTTAATTTTATATCTACCTTGGAGGCAAAAAAGATGCTGTGATAGAGCAGTTTGAACTATATCTGATTACAAATCCAGATGAAGCATGACATGATTTGCCCCAGAAAACATTGCAGCAACTGAAAGACCATTCAGTGGGAGTTCTATGAACAACCTGCAGTTATATGACATAAGAAAATTGATAAGTTTGAAGGAAAATAATGAAGTTTGGTATTTAAGTTGTAGAATTCTCATTCTACTAGTTAAAACAATGTAAAATGTGATTGGAATCTGATTCACAAGCAAATCCAGGACTTCCCAGCACTTGTTCACACATTGTACGTACTGTGATAGAAAAAAATGCTATCAAAATAAAATATCTGTTCAGTTAAAAGGAACAACAAATCAAGAACAAAATCATCAACTGAAAAATGCTTGTATATTTCAAAATCAAGATCTAAACTTTGTGCCTCTGCACATCTTAAGTAAAAAGCTTTCTCTTTCTCTGAGCACATATACTCAGAATAGTCATGGGTGGTGTTATAATACGAATTTAAGGAATATAAGGTATTCTGAGAATGTGCATCTGAGTTTCAGGGACTTCAGTCTTAAAAGTAGCACCTTGAGTATCTAACACCATAAATTCAGAAAAAACATTTTTAATTTTCATGGTGGGATTGAACTGGAGACATGCAGTACTATCTAGAATAAATGCTTTCAGGAATTATTTATAGTTTGCTTCATTCATTGACTCTTCTCGTTTTCTTTCAAGCCGGGTTCAATTTCATTCCATTGATCGGTGGGTTTGTATACAACGCTTTGTTAGACTACCCAGCTCTAACAGTTTTCACTAAATTCTTGCTTAATTAAAATCAACAAAGGGAAGACATTTATAAGTGGATACCTTTTATGCGCAGTTTAGTATTTTGGGAAATACAGGGAAATTATCATGTATGGACAACCTAATGGTTAATTTATTTCCCATGAAAACCTAATATATTCTGTTTATTAAGAAGTTCCATCAAATAGTATTGTATGGTTGACATATGAGTTGAGGATTAGAGACTGTCATGCAATGCTTTGGATAAACTGAAAATTTTATAGTATTGCTTTAAGAATGACAGGGAAATTGGGAAAATTATGGCCTATGAGACAGAAACAATTGTAGCAAGAGGAAACAAAAGTGATTAATAGAGCCCTCTCCTGGTAGTCCTCTTACTTGACTGAGAAATGTGGAAATGTGTGGCTTTTAAACAAGTTAGAAAATGTAATATGTAGAGATTTGCATGGGAAATTTCTCTGATATTTTGCTGCTTGGGGACCAAATTCTGAAACAGAAAAGAAAAAGTCTTTTTACCTAAAAATAAGGTGATAAAATACAAACAATGCAAAATTCCTTGCTTACAAGGTGCTGTAGAATTTTACCTTTGATTATCCCTTCCTTTTAATAAGTTGGCTGCTGCTATTACCATTTCATCTTCAGCATGTGGAAAATTTTGTATGCTTCTGTTGTGTGTTAAGCTTTGTTAGCTTCTCACATATAATAACACTGCAACAATAACTATGGTAGTTCCATAATACCCATAACTGATAGCTGTGTAATACCCATCAGTCTCTGATTGTTGTAAGTATGGAAACTAGCATGAGTTTTAGAAAGGAATTTCAGGCACAGCTTGGAGTTGAGTATACACGTAGCCCAGAAACACTACACTGAAGTATACAAATGATGGAAACGCTTATTTTAATAAATGCTTAAACACGGGGAACAAAAAGAAGGTTGGCTCCATGACAACAGAAAATGCAAATCCTTGTGTGGATTCACACACAGGAAAGAAACCTAAATTTTCCATTACGTATAGTTCTTAGATTATAGGCTTAACAATATGCAAAAGGATGGCAAGTGTAGACTGATAGACTTGTGCTTCGTTACCACGATGATAAGGGATTAACCAAATTATAGAATAATGATCTTAATAATAACTATTTGGCAGATACTCATAATGCGGAAGACTGGAAACAAGGTATCTCCTTTCTGCGCTGTTTTAGAGCTTTCAGAGTTACAGCATCTCTGCTTTTGAGAGTAGATCATGCCTACCATTGTCCTTTTAGAACAAATCATCTCAAAAGGAAAAGGTCTTTATATAATCTAGTACTCATTCAAATGCTGAAAACTGTCCTTCCTCCAACGTGATGAAGAAATTCTAGGATTTATACTTGTTTTCTGACAAATAAGTGTCTTATGTATTCAAATCTATCTCCTTCCTATGAGTAGGGAAAAATATTTTACAAAATACAAAGAAGTCCCAGATTTCTTTCCTGGGTTTCTTTCAAAGAGTTTGATCTGAGGGATTGGGGATTTGCTCCAGTAATTGCATGTCTGAAGTATGGTTAGTCGGAACTACAGTTAAGTTAGAGCTTAGGAAAAATAGAAATACCTTTGCCTTTTTTTCCCCAGACTTTTACCTGAAATCCAGGAACATGAAATGCTGCTTTCATTAGGGTAAGACGTGTGATAGGAGTCAGCACTTATTTACATAAAGATATACCTAGATTCTTTGTTCCTTTACTACAGCAGAAATACTAGCTATCTCTTTTCTCAGAATGACCAGATGAGACATTGTGCTGAGGTATGGCACCCAGTAAGCTCCTTGTCTTCTGTTTCTGTCACTGTGCATTTTAAAACTACTTTAGGCTTTATTCTGCCTGCAGCTTGAACAACTTAGAGATGGTATCTCAGTCTTCAATTTGCAAAAATAAACCCTAGACTATCCAACTTAGTTCTGACTATGCATTGACTAGTTTCTTATGCAGTCCAGCTCTTTTCACAATATGAGGAAACTTGAGCTTATCAGAGCGCTTGGCATGCCCTTTGGCTTTATTTGGATTAGCTTTTGAATCCAAGTCCCAGCTTTAGCATCCATTAACATCTTGTGCACAGCAATAAATCATGCTAAGAAATCCTTGAGCTCTCTCTAATAAGTTGTTTGGAATTTAATAATAATTTCAGTCCTTCAGTGAGGGATGGTTTCTCATTGTGCTTGTTCATCTGTAGATGAAGTTTGTCTTATATCAAACTTTAGTAAGAAAAGGAGAATCAATCATGCATGTGATTCTAATTGTTGTCTTTGTTGTCAGAGAATCAGAGAATTTCTATGTTGTAATTACCCGAGTCTGTGATGAAATTGTGAAATTTTTAAATCTAGTGAATTTAAAAGACAGTTTCTGGGCACTTGTTTCTTCTTTATATTTAAATGCTTTGACTATTTTTTTGCTTCAACTGTGTTTATATTTTTATATATGTCAGAATTTGCCTTCAGTTGTGGTACAAATGTAGAAAAGTCAGTGGTGACTGCTGTGAACTGTGACATATGACTTTCTTGAGCAGTGCCTGAGTATTCTATGTGAGAGTCACTTTTAGGATAAATAAAAAGAATTATATAGCTGCTTCTGTCCTTATTCTTAGCCAGAAAGACATATTACGGTTGAAAAAATGTTACTGCTGCTTATGACATTTGGAACCAAACTCAAGATGTGCCAGAGCTATCTATAGTACAAGTTGAAAGTTGTACTTAGAGTTGTCAAGTGCTGATTTTAGCATTATAACATGAAGTCAGGAAGCAATGTAATATAACATGGAATTTCTAAGAAACTGCCTTCCTTTTACAATACTATTTTTAGAGTCCTCCAAGAAGTTTTAATGGTGGCTGCAAATATCAAGCCTAGACTTTTTTCCTTCTTCTTTACCTATATGTGTATAGGTGTTAGAATTAGAAAATTAAGAGGTTTCTTAGAAGCAAAACCATCTGAACAGATTAATATTGAAGAATTACAGGCATAATAAAATCATGTTCTGCCCTGCAGTTTACATTACTGTTTATTTCATACATTCATGAAAATTGAGCATTTCTCATGATGCTGGTAATTCAGCCTGTCAGTTTATTCAGATATGTCTGACAGGATACTAAATGCATGTCTCTGACAATGTGCAAACAGGGAGTGGGGGAAGACTGATTTTTGAGAGTCACATACTTGGAGATAAATATCAGATTTCGACTGATTACCTGAAATTTTCTGTTCTTACGTATTTCACATTTTCTCTGACTATTAATGTAATGGTATGTGTATATCTATTTATATGTATATATGCATATTAAGCAAACTAGAACCCTGTTCTTAGTTGGAAAAGGGCTCAGAAGGAAGATTCAAAAGCTTATATTCTCTTGCTGACTAACATTCACCTGTCATAGGATCTTAAGTAAGACATTTCTACTTTGTCATCTTCCCCATTCTCTGTCTTGTCTCTTTAAACTGTGAGTTTTGAGAGTCAGTGATTTTTCTATTACATACTCTAAGGTTCCTGCATAGTAATTTCCTAAACATACCATAAGCCTCTAAGCACTACTGTAATGCAAATAACAAATCATATATAATTATTACATTAGTAATTCTAGAAATATGAGTAACCAAATTAAAGTAAATGTGACTACTCATGCATAGAGCTATCTATCTCTAAGGAAAATTGTGGCAGGAGTGGTTCATACCATATCCATACCAATTACACTTTCCCACACTTACTACCAGCTCTGAGTATTGTTCATAAACACAAAAAGTGGAAAAACAATGGTATCATTGTATGGAGAAGGGGATGGGATAGTGCTGAAGACAGAGTTCTGTTGTTGTAATGGGATAAGCAAGTAGTTTTACTTTCTGAATCAGGATTAAGTTATATGGAACTTAGACTGTTAAACTGTAGGAAACTTTCATAGAAAAAAGTCTAGCTGAACCCTGGTAAGCTCTGTGATGCTAGTGCTTGGAAAAGTGCATTTTATGACTATCACAATGCAGTGAGATCTACAGACATATTAGGTACTAGTTTGTTAACACGTTAAATCAATTTCACTGGCTGAAAATGTTGATTAGATTAACTGTCCACATTACATTACTAACTTACTTTGGACAAATTAATATTCTATTATTTGACTCTCTGACAAATACACCTTACAGATATGATGGTAACTATGAAGCAAACTAATTGCATGAGAAAAGTACTAAAAAAGAGTGGTCTTTCTGTTGTGTGATTATTTTTGTCACAGTAACCTCCTGCTAGGAGTTCACTGTGTTGGAAAAAACACAGTATGGGAATGGCAGTCAATCTTGCAGGGCTGTATACAAAAACGTACCCATGTAACAATAAAATTGCAAATACTGCACCTTCTGCATTGGATGGAAGGATTTCATTGGTATGTTCAGTTGATGATTATATTTCATCAGTTTATATTTCTCAGGGACACAGAAATGAGAATCTCTGGTGTGAACTCCAGGTACCTAACTGAAGTCAGGTGGGATGAATCAAGGATGCTGTGTCATGCTACAGTAATTTAAGCAATATAATGAAAAGATAATTGCAGTTTATGTGTGAATATGTTCTCCCAAGTTAAAATGTCTACACATAAATATAGCACTAATCAAACAAATGCATTTTTATCAGACCCAGCCTTGCATTACGGTCAGCTCTGCATTATGGGCAAAAGTGTTAATATCAGATCAACTTTTAAATATGTTGCAGAGCTTCAAAGTTCGAGTCTGGTGCTAAGAGGGCACTTGGACTGGACTGGAGGTAAAGAAATTAACATTTGACATTTTAAACAACAATTAGTTTTGTGTTAACAGAATTAATCAAAGTTCTGTAATTGAGCATCCATTAGCATAAAGAAAGCATATCAGTGACTGAGGTAGCAATCACTTCATATGAAAGTGGCAGAGCTAATGAGCTATGTAAGTAATTTTTCTTTGCAGATATGATCAGGGTCAAACATGTTCATGGAAAGAATACATTACTTAGATCATATTGCTACCACTTTAAAGTTGCACATAATTCTTATTCTTTCTTGGGCAAGACCTTTAAAAATTCTTACATTTTTACAAATATTATTACAGAATACTTTCTAAATTTTTAGTGCTTCAGTAAAAGGTCAAAATACTTTGGATCAAATTCTCTGCTAGTCGAAAGTGGTGTAGTAAACTTAAGACAGAAGCCACACAGCTCTGTGTGTTTCCTCATGAATATCATGTTTGATGATTTTGTGTTGATGGTAAACTGCCAGTGCATGCATACAGCTCTTACTGCATTGCTGTAGTATAAACAACTGCTTTACCACTCAAAGGTTATGGGTAGCACTTTCTGCTCTTTAGCTGTGTCACCTGTGGTATGCTTCTGTGCCCTGAGAACTGCTCACGTTAATCTTAGTCCCACACCTGCAGTAAGGAAAAAGAACTCTATATATGATGTGAAACATTATGTTTAAATATATCTGTCACAAAAATGTCAGCTTCTGCTGTTAGCTAACAGCGAAGATGGTAACTGAAAGGTTTAAGCTTTTCTTTTACATACAATAAGAAGCAGCTGGGTTCTATGAAAAAGTTGTGGAAAAATACTCAACAACAGCAAGAAAAAGCTGAAAAGACCTGTTTTCCAAAGATAACATGAAGTATTATACTAAAACTAAAATTTTGAATTGAAAGTATGTGTTTTTCTGCCTTTTATATTCTTCAGTTTTATCCATACTTCAAGGTGAAAGTCTTCAAACACTGAATTGGATTCAACTACTATAAACAATACAGCTGCAAAGGACAACTTCACTATTTTCCAGTGTAATAAGAGAATTCAGGAAAACTGACTGCTAAACACCTGAGCAAACTGTTTCAGGTTTTTATAAGCCATCTGATTTATCAAAGTTGAGGAGTTACCTGCAAGATAGATGGATGTTTCTTGATTTTAAAATGTCGTGTGAGGGAATTAGTACAACATTCAACTAATTACTTACTTAGGCCCCTGACATTAGACTAAGGAAAGTTTTTTATTTGGAGAGCGGATGGTTCATATACTTGTAAAGAACACAAAATACCTTAAGTGCATACTAGGGGAATTATTTTGTGGAGATGTTTGCCTTTCTGCTGCGCAGCAGTAAGCATAATTTCTAGCAGCAGGTGAACTGATGTAATGTGATTGATTGCAGGTTCCCTCAAGAGCTGAACATGGGAAAAATCAGTGCTGAAATCATGTGGACTCTGTTCGCCCAGGACATGAAATACGCTCTAGAAGGTAATTGTAACAAACTATTAATTACACTAGAGAGTTCACAGAGACTGACTTCCACTGCAAATGACACCTGGCATCAGATTTCTGTGGGTGGTAAGAGCTTTCTGGAATACTTGTTGAGATGTTTCATAAGTTAGTGAAAAAGAAGTGTTGTAAAGGGAGAAAATCGTTGGACTGTGACTATATGAGTTATCTGTGGAAGGAGATAAAAGAACTGTAACTTATTACCTAAAGCTGACAAAATCATTGATGTCCAAAGAATGACAAATGCTTGCTACAGAGCACTGTTAGGTATTCAATATTTTCTTACTAGCTGAAAATCGCTAACTTGGAGAAAACACACACAGATAATTAAACCTTTTTGTGTTCAAAAGACAGGTTATATTCATTCTAGTTCCAAAATAATCAAATGCAGTTTCTTTTTATTCTTTAAGATTGTATTGTTGTTAACCATATGTAAGATACTTTTTCTTTTCTTCTATAGCAGATAATCTCCAAATAATGGTTTCAAACACACTTATTAAAATACGGCTACTGCAGAAAACTGAGTAAAAATACCTGCATGAAAATTCTTAACAAATAATGAAGAGAAGGAAATAAGGAAATAGTCTTAATTAATGATAGAAATATTGCCAGTTCACACACATGTATTCACACAAACTTTTAGATCATTAATAAAACGATGACTCTTCAAACTAAGTTCATAAAACTCTCCCTAACTAGTATTTATTTTTGCAGAATAATAAATGATGGCATTAGCTGAACTAATTTTCTTTACCTATTAAATGGATTTTGGGTTTAAATGTGAGAGAAATGCAAGAGGATCTTGATTTCCATCAGGCATAAAGAGTATAGCTAAGATGAACTGGAAAATCAGTAGATCAAATCTGAATTTGGTCAGAAAAATAGTTTTCTGCATTGTAAGATATGTAATAATATCTATTCTGTTCATCTTGTATGTGTACAATCTTTACAGTGTTCCTCCCCAAAAAGAGGAAAAAAAAAAAGTATGTCAGAGACCAGTTGTGAAGCATTAGTGCAGTTTATAATCTCATGCTCAACCCCAATGTGTGCTGAAAGGAATTACAATATATAAGCACTGGGGTATTTTAAGCAAAATAGAATTTTTCTTCATCCTTTTATAAAAATTGCTATTCATAGAAAGAAAGGATTTATAGTGCTTGTTTTTTTGTTGGTGGTTTGTTTTTTTTTTTTACTGCCACAGAAGCAGAAATTGCTAATTGTGATTCTTAAGTAAGCAGAACTCACTGTCTAAGCCTGCAACTAAAAACAGACCAAGTCTGCCAGTGGTGAAAATAAGTATGAGGTTCAATTTAAACAATGATGCAATTCAACAGGCATAAAGGATTTAAAAAAAGGAATATCTGAAGATTAATTTCTGTATTATTTGCTCTAGGATGCCTTTGAATGTAGAGTTACACTCTGCACACAGACATCCCTACGCACAACAGTGCTTGTAGTGGTTTAGCCATCGAACTATAAACATTCTATACTTGAACTAGATAATTCACAAAAAATAATTCACTCTATTTGCTAAGTAAGAGCACACTGATCACTCCAAAGGCAGCTTCAGATGAAGCTGTAGTTTGTTTCTTTGTTGTAAAGAATAGAAAAGGAAGCTTTTAAGGAAGAGCTAACTAACTAACTAACTATACAATATATGAAGCGTGGACGGTTAGACAGGATCAGGACTTTAAAACAAATGTTAATGTTAATATCCTAATTTTGCAGAGAGAGATATAGAGGACTATTAAAGAGGCACTTGACTTTCTGTGTCTATTCCAAACCAGTCACTGCTTATGGTCTCTTCTCTGTGTTGCTGTGGATACTGGGGAGTCTAAATGCCATGTTTGTCAGTAGTCACTCCTGGCATCAATAGTGAAACAGTTCCTGTGTACGCATAATAATTAAAGGAAATAGAAATTAATTCTAAATTATTATATATACACGTGATTTCACATTCTATGGTATCACTCCTAAACAGGAACCTCAGTAAATCTAGTCACGTAATATAGATCAACATGCTGTTCCTCTCTACAGCTTTGCTGTTTTTTAAATCATTAATTCTTTCCATCGATACTCTACAAACTGAGTTTGATTCTCCATTTGTCAATGGCAGTAAGTTTCTGGGTTCAGGGTTTTTTTTTAATTCAAATTCTACAAGATTAGGAGCAAGCCCTTAAATATGGTCACACTCAATCCTCATGGTTTTAATGGAATTCATTAAAATGCATTGCATTCTGTTATGCCAGTTTTGCCTTCCAAGTTATTAGCATAGGCTACCATCTGTTCATACGTAGTGTCCAGGGCTGTGATTGCAGTCTTTGCCTGATGCAGTTTAGTATTAATCTCCTGAAGCAGCATCTTGTGTGTTATGAAGTTTATTTCTTTCTGTATCCAATCAAGAAACAATGATACAGTCCAACATTTTTTTTGCAAAAGTATTGCTGATGTGATAAAAGATTAACTCATCCGAGATCCTGTTTCTGGGTTTTCCCACCTTTTATATTCTTTAATATATTCAGCACTCTGATCAACTTAAGTTCAAGAAATGAGTGTGTCATAACACCATTCTGTAACAGAAGACCAATACTGGAACATTCAGTTTACATTCCTTTTTCCTGAGAGCAGCTCAGGATGGTTGTTCAGTCTATGTCCTCTCTCTGTACAGCTGAATGCCTCCTGTACCTGCCCAGGGGATGTATGGAGCTGCAGCTGCTGCTGGGAAGAGTCATAGAATGGTTTGGGTTGGAAGGGACCTTAAAAGTCATCTAGTTCCAACCCCCTGTCATGGGCAGGGACACCTTCCATTAGGACAGGTTGTTCAAAGCTGTGTCCAATCTGGCTGATGGCTGCTCTTCAGCAGTGCTGCTTATCTTCTTTGCAACAGGAGACAACAGGCCCAGTGAGCCAGGCACCAGCCATCATTGCACCCCTCTGTCTTGTCTTCTCACTTGATTCTTGCTTAGAACAATCTAGCTGGGAGGCTGCTGATGTGGCATGGACAGGAAAGAGGGAGCTTCCAGCAGCTTCCGCAGCAGTGGCCTTTTGCTAGACGAGGGCTACGTGTCTCTGTGAATACAAAGGAGTGTATTTGTATGTGACAGGGTAGGTGGCTGCTGTCTCAGGAAACAGCTTGCTTTTGGGATGAGGGAGGAAAGGACATCCCAAAGCACAGTTCAGGTCTCTATAGCTGCCGAGATCAGGGCTTACACTGTGATAAGCTGACATGCCTTGCAAACAAAACTACTAAAATCCGGTATTGACATCATCATTTCATTCTAGATTTTCTTCCATATTAAGTTAATAACTAGTAGCCTAGTCCTACACAAAGCAGCCTTTGTGTAGTATTAAAAGTTTTATGCAAACTTTAACAGGTTAAGTCCACACCAGTTGCAATTCTTTTCTGATCTAAGGAGTTTCAGGTTATTTTCATACATAGATTTTGCATGGAGAAAGTATCAGATATTTGTATTTGAGAACTGATTTTATTAAATTTGGCCCCTTCTTTTTATTTATAAAACAACAGTGATTGGCATGATAGATTATACGTTGTTATTTGCCATTTAGTTTACACAAGCATAACTGAACTTACAAGATGTTAATATTTTTGTGCTGTCTGGTCCTCAAATTATTCTGTATTTATGGTACAAACAAACAAGAACAGAGAGAATTTCCCCAGCAGTACAAGTGATTTGTTACTGACTTCATATGGTAAGAAGTCTTTTCCTTTTCAAGTATGAAGATGTGAAAGTTAAAAGATGATGAGAGAGTAATGAGCTGATATTAGAAATGCAATTACAAAATTATCTTTTTTTATTCTATGTCCTCAGAAATGTCTTTTTTTCGGATCTTTCATATCACTGACTTCTGAATAGGTCAGATCAAGTGTCCAAAGCTATCCAGTCTGCTAGAAAGAGAACATTCTAATTGCTGCTGTTATGAAATCTAATTCTGGTAGTGGCCAGAAGTCAAGACCAGGATCAGGGCAGAAATTAATTAGCTGCTGTGTAAATACAGCAGTAGGCAGTCTCAACCCTGCAGAACTGTTTCTGAAGTGTCAGGACTTATAAAAACAGGAGAATAAGAGAATCATTACACCATTTTATGCATTTAATGTAGGTTTTCTTTTTTAAGTTTGTTATTTTCAATGCAAAAGCAGGTATCATCTTCCTGTTTCTCTGACAGATCCTCTTTTATGACAGAAACTGATAAAGTGATTTGAAAAAGGCAGGTCTGTGACTTGATACTGACCACAGAGAGACAGCATAGAAAAAGTCCCACAAAGGTCATGTCATTTGATTGCAGGTTTCAACTGTGTTTTCACTCCAACTTTACAATTTACAAAGTTCCTCTTAGGACAGAATACAGCCTTGGCTTACAGGGAGACTACCAAGAAATTCTGGGGGAGGTGATGCTGTGGTTATGGAAGGGAGAAAAGGGCAGCATCAGTATCAAAACATGAAAACTTAGTTTTGTGAATCTCATTCTGCATTCACACATTCAATAGAATCATAGAATGGTTTGGGTTGGAAGGGACCTTAAATACAGTCTAGCTGTAACCCTCTTGCCATGGGCAGGGACACTTTCCATTGGAACAGGTTGCTCAAAGCCCTGTCGAACCTGGCCTTCAACACTTCCAGGGATGGAGTAACCTGTTCCAGTGTCTCATCACGCTCATAATGAAGCATGTCTTCCTGATATCTAATAAAAATCTACCCATTTTTAGTTTAAAGCCATTCCCCCTATACGCCCTTGTAGAAAGATCCTCCCCAGCTTTCTTGTTGGCCCCTTCAGTCACTGGAAGCTGCTCTAAGGTCTCCCAGGAGCCTTCTCTTCTCCAGGCTGAACAAGCCCAACTTTCTCAGCCTGTCTTCCTAGAAGTGCTCAAGGCCTCTGATTATCTTCATGTTCTCTTCTGGACTTTCTCCAGTAGGTCCACATCAACATAAGTACTACATCCTAATTCTTCCAGAGACCTG